ACACACACAGTCTTTTCCTTGAGTGTATGCTTATTCATGCAAATGAGATGAAAGCTTCTAGAAGGCAAATACAAGCTAGAGAAACAGGCATAATATATTAATCAGTAGCTACTCAATAAATATTGCTGCCTGCCAAGGAAGGATATCAGAAGCTACGTACATATGTTGGATATAATGATCCCCTACATTTTTTGTGTGTGCACTCATTTCAAGTTTTGAAGTCAACCTTCGCTTTTATGAACTCTAACACTGTATATTTTGCTTTTTCCAGATTTAAAACTGTCAACTACGGTAATTCATTAATCTATTATTTTATTATTATTTTGGCTAAAAATGTTTAGGTTCAAGTGGTGGTCATCTTTTGATGTGTTAAAACTCTCTATGACTCTGCTTATGATCTATACTTTATACTATTCATTTTCTGTTCAAAGATCTTTGCTAACATATTTGTAGATGAAGGCGCAATAGTCCATGAATTTGTTAGCAATTCATTGTATAGTTATATATCAATATATCAATACATGTAGATTAGGACTTGGTCTACAAGAGAGGAATCACTCCAACAAATGTTATCACTTATTAGAATTTTAAAATGGCAGTGTGTGGCAGAAAACACACCAAGACAAAATCCTATTCCTAACCCTTTTACAGAATAGGCTACTTTGGCTATTTCTGTCTAGTCTCCACCCAAAGAATAAAAGATTTGCTGCAGACCATGAATTCATGATTTTCCTTCTCTGTCATAAATGACAAATAGGCAATGAGCTGCTCTCTAGCAAAAGCTAGGCATAATTTTTACTTTGTTTACTAAAGAAAATTATACATTTTTTTTTGAGAACATAATTTTAACAATATATCATAGAAAAGAAATTTCAATTTATTGTTGGTGTGACCTATGAAAGGTCAATTTAGAAACACAACAAATTCATAGGACTCTAGCCATTGCTGAGTTTCTCATCTAATTCCATATATTAGAAAGGCTTTGTTATTGTTATTTTGAATTAACTTTTAGTTGTTAACCATATATTAGATGTTTTTTAGTCATTTTCAGCAACAATTATTACCTTCTATGATGATCCAATAAAATGAGCTGATGGAAACACGACTGTTGGGCAATATTAGTACAAGAACGGTCAAACCAATGAATGCAAAGAAAAATTACTAAGTTCATGCTGAACTTTAGCTATAATAGAGAATGATTTTGACAGGGAAGTATTACTGGCGATTCTTGTTTAGAAAGCATACAAGAAACTCAGACCACAGAACAGTGAATGCTAGACTACTGCACATTAGCATAACATAAGCCAAGCTTAAAGCACATAACAGAAGAGGCACGGGAGAAAGGATTCTGTTTTGCAAGAAAAATTTCAAGAGCAGAAGAAAAGCACAAAGGAAATACCTTAAGATCTCGCCTTTCCAGATGCAAAAGTTCAGCCCCTCTGATGTCATGACCGATGAAGATTTCTTTGTACTCTCCCAAATTGAGCAGATCCAGCCAAGCAGCAACTTCCTCTGTGCCCCATTTCTGAACTACCAAAGTTAAGAGCAAAACCCCCTTAATTTCTACATGCTCAATGCATTACAAAGCAAAGGTTTGGCCAAAGAAGATGCAAAACAGAGTGCAGTGGCAGTGCTAGCAAAGAAAAGGTAAAGGCATTGTTTCAACAAAACTATGGTTCTATTTTTTCTCATGCAGGTTACAGACTACCGATCAACACAAGGATCTGACTATGCAAAGACATTCGCTGCCATGCACCCATGCCTGTAGCTTTAGTCCAATTTCTTCATTAAAACTACCCAAACTTCACAATATGCATAAAAATTTTATTTCACGTCATTGGGATCAGTGGTGCAAGGTGATAAATAAATCTGATGATTTCCTTAAGACCATGCATGAAAATGGTTATAGTTGGAAATGAGCT